ACAACTTTAGCTACAGGTTTGGGAGTTATTTAGATGTTTAATAGTGGATTGGCTTTTTGCGTTGACAAGCGGAGTGTGGTCATTAGATTTAGAATATGAACTATTAAAAAAAAGTTTGTTAAAAAAGTCTATCAAATCTAATTTCTGAAATAAAATACAAGATTTAGTAACTTGAGAATAAAGGATCTTAGTGTCAGGTAATACCTTTTTGCATCAATTTCTTGCAATGATAAAATGCATTTGTTCTCTAGAGAGTTGTTCTTGTGGAAAAGAAAAGATTGCAATCAGATATTGCACAATAGCACAAGAGGGGTAAATTTATTGTGATTAAAATAATTAATAGTTTTACTAATTAAAATGAGTAAGGTTGGTTGAGTGAAGAAGTGCTAAACGCTAAATATATATTTTTTTCATACAATACTATATTTTTTGGGTCTATATTGAACGCTGATGCCACTAGGTATGCTTGTATGCAGTGTTTTTACTTTATTTTTTTTTTCCTATATATTTTGCTTCCCAAATCCTTATTTGTCGAATTTAATTACATTTTTGAGTGGAGATACTTCCAACAAAAATAGTCTTATAACTTCAGATTTTAAAACTTTGTAATACAATTGAAGTGTTTTACACTCAAATTTATTATTATATGCACAAAATTAAATACATATTCCAAAATCATATCAAATAAATTATATCATGATTATATCATTTACTCATCTTTTGCTCAAGAAGAAAAACTGAGTATATTCATTCAGGAAATGAATATACTCAGTTATAGGGCTACAACCATGTCATACGATAAAATATGTCTTAAAATTTTTTTTTCGCGATTGTCAATATATAGAACTTCCATAGTAAAAGGTTCCATAATTAATTTCAACTATTTACGCTATTTTTTATGCCTGCAAAATGAATTTATTTTATCATATTCTTCAAAAAAAAAAGGTGATGTTTTAACAGGCTGCTGCAAGTGTTTAACTAACTTTTAATGCATAATTTTGATTTTTACCTCAGAATAATTAATTATCTGAGGTAATTACACAAAAGTAACAAAAACTTTGCCTATCTGTAGATACTGAACTGTAACGCATTAAAGTTTCCAAATTTTTTTATAATATTGGAATTAATTGCGACTATAGGGTACAATAATTGAAAACTGTTTAAAATCAGTGAAAAACACCTGCAAAAATAGATTATTTGAGTGAAAAACTATTACTGTACAAAATTTTAGGTAATCACCTATTTTATTTAGAAAAAATTTTACTTAGGCTGTAATACAATGTACTGCAGCAGATACTCAAGTTTTTCTAATTTTGGTCAATGTTGATTTGATCATACCTTATAAACAGTTTAGCCAATCAAGCAGAAATTTTCAGGACTGTGTTTTTTTCATAAAACCTGTCAGTGATCAAAATTTGAAGCAAATCTGAGGTGGTACCCTAGAGACCATTAGATGATTTGATATGGAATGACCCTAAAGCAAAATATAGAATCAATTTCAAATAAATAAATGATAAATAAAAAAATAAAATACGCTTATTATTTGGCTGTACACATCACAGAATCTTTTACTTTACCCACTAATTTAATTCAATTTTGGTCGAATCGGACACCCAGAGCCGACCCGAACAAATGTGGGGTCCGGTACAGGATAACCTTGCGAGGTTATATGCGAAAATTATTGCGAAATATATGATATTTTACACATATTTTTTACATGTGGACTATATTTTAGTACACGTTGAACAGTCCCAGGAAAAAAAGTTCTATAAAGTTTTCTATAAACTTTTGAAACATATGGCCTATAGAAACTCTGTAGAATTTCTATAGAATGTCTATTAATTTCTATAGAAATTGCTATAAAACTTTTTTTTCTATAAAAAAAAAAGGTAGAAAAAAAATTTTAATAGGAATTTTTATAGAAGTTAGGGATCGTCCATAAATTACGTAACGCAAAATTTCACAATAGACAAAACAAAAAAAGATCAAAAGTTTTCCCTCGCAGAGTCTTAATTTAAATAAATAATTAAAATAGGAAATTAAGTTAAATGAAAATCGCCGTGTAAAAGAGCCTAATATCTCCTACTTCTGTTCTTGAAATATTTTTTGCGTTGCGTAATTTATGGACGATCCCTTAACAGAAACTCTATAGAAATTCTATAAAATTCTATAGAATTTCTATAAGGTCATGTTTCAAAAGTTTATAGAAAATTCTATAGAGCATTTTTTTCTCGGGTGGCACTAAAACTAGTATATTTAAACGTCACTAAAAATATTGTAAATAAATAAACTAACATTTCAGTCATCAAATAATTTTTATTAACTTTAATCTTGAAAAATATCTTTCTGCTGAAATGACTGTAATTGGTAAAGTTAGTATAACTTTGAGCGCAGTAACGAAATTTGGATACAACTCAAATATATTATTTTTTAACAAATATTGCAGTATTTGTAAATATCTGAAGTTTTATAAACATTATTGTTACTTTGTTAATAATATACATGTTTTTCACATAAATCGAAAAAATAAGCCAACTTTGTTATGTCTGATTTTAAGTCTAAATACAATGGACCTTTTAGCCTTGTTTGACTGCACCGCTTGCACCGCTTGCACCGCCCTCCAGTTGGCTCTGTGGACACCGTTGTATTATACTTTACACTTTATTTTAAAAATTTGGAAAAAAGTAGGGTCAAGACCAAGGCTTGCAGCCCTTTCCCTTATCTATTGCTCTCTGTATAAAGGAATATCAAAATCACTGTTAAAAAGTTATTGCTATAAAATGCATTAAAAAAATGATCATATCAAGTTATGTTAAATGTTTTCTTGTGGATATATAAAATTAGAGGCGTTTATACAGGGAGGGGGGTTCCATCACCTCCAAAGAAGGTGATTTTCAAGTTACAGTCGGTTTTTTATACGAGTTCATTCGGCTTGTATGGTATTTGACACAATTCAGTCGGGTAAATTTTAGTTTTGAGGACCTTTTTTTTATTTATTATTTTTAGAAGCCAGCCAGATACTTTTAAAGGATTCAACCTCCTCCTCTCCTGTCTTATTTTATTTGTAGAATATATGTATATTTTATGTGTATATATATTTATATATATATATATATATATATATATATATATATATATATATATACATATATATATGGAGCTTGGAAATAAAATAGCCCCAAAATTTTTGCCTAGTCTGCCCCAAACGTGAGAGCAACAAGTTGATAAAATATTTTTTGTACTATTTTCAACTAGACTAATATTCATCGATAAACTTTAAGTTTTATAGTATAATTTCTTAGTGTTCAAAAATTATAACAATATAAAATTTGCAACCCCCTCAAATTGAGGGGGGTTTAAACATTATATAGTCATAATTTTTGAACGCTAAAGTATTTTACTATAAAACTTAAAATTTATCTATGAATATAAGTCTAGTTAAAAATAGTACAAAAAATATTTTATCAACTTGTTGCTCTCACAAGACCAAAAAATACTGGTGCCGGTGTAGTAGGCAGGATTGACTTTTTTTTTTTTTTTTAAATTTTAATTCACTTCCTCAAGGCCGAGAAGGCCACTACAGACGAGGAGGCTACTTATTTGTGGTTATAACCCTCTCTCAACTCTATAACTCCGAAACACGAACCTTGATGAACAAGGCCGCTGCGCGGAGAAACGAGTTGAGCGCGGTACTACCAGGGACGTGGTGGGGATCAAACTCGGAACCACTCGTTTATGAAGCGAGCGCTCTACCACTACACCACTACCGCATTTAACGCATTTGACTTAACGGTAGCGTATACTGTACAGTAAGCCGTACCGGAAGGTAACAAACACTGTATAGTGCTTGCTGCCTAGGTGCAAAGCACTGTACAGTAATTCCTACCGGCTAGGCACCAAACACTTAACTCAGGTAACATGTACTAACGGCAAAGAAAACGTTTTTAAAGAGAGTATTTACTTTTTTTAGTTAAAACATTTTTTTTTAAATAACTTTAAGAATAATTGGATTAAGTTAATTTTATAATACGATTTAGGTTAAATTTTTTAAACTTCTTTTTTCTAATTAAACTTCATTACATAAGAGTTTTTACAACATGACTTAAATTTTATCTTCTTAAATTTTACCTGTTTTGAAGTTGATGACTGAGTATTCTTATTTTCACTAACACTCGTTAGGTTATCTTTCACGGTTTACGAGGTTCTACTACCCTTATTGACATATAGATTAGGAGTTTTATTTCAATTTTTTCTTCTCCTTAGTTAGTTGATTTCACTACAACTAAGGAGTCGTACTTACTCTATATAAAGCAAGTTGTATTGGATTAAATGTATTTCAGAAGCAGGGTAGTACTCGGTAATCCGAGTATTTAAATCAATTCGATAAGTCTTATTGCTGCTGTTACCACAATGTTGGTAAAAGTTTTTCAAATAAAATTTATTTTTGTCGAGGCTGCTTTTAGCCCTTGGACCCTGGTGGTAAGTTTTGTTGGACACTCACTTTTTTGGTTGTTTTCTATTTCATATTATTTTCATTAAAATACTATTATGAGGACCCAAATGTGGGTAAAATTTCTAATATAAAACACTTTAATTAACACTCAAAGTTCATTTATATTCGTTGACACGCTAGTGACCCTTTTTTAGTTCCTGGAAAACTGTACCAGTCAAGGGTAAAAAAAGCATTGATTTTAGAAGACTACAAATCTCAGTTGAGGTTGGCTGTTTTCTAAAATTTTATAATGTTAATCTTTTATAATTAACTCATTGGTATTTTAAAATCTGTGTTGGCATTTTAAAAAAAACCGCGTGCGATTAAAAAAGAAAAGAGGCCATCTGCAAGACAAGAAACTTCAATTGTATTTCTCAATCAAATAAATTTTGTTGTTTAAAAAGCAAACCTAAACTGCTTAAAAATTAAGAAGCTTTCATTAAAAGTTTTTACAGAAAAGAATAAATTTACAATAGTATTTTAAATTAGCATAGTATCAATAAATTCAATTTCTTGTATGCTAAAACCTTAATGAAAATTTAATAAAGGAGAGTTATAAAACAAGTCCATGATTAGTTTTAAAATGATAAACTGCACAACATTTTGGATTAACAAGAATAGTCAAAACAATCTTAAAATAAAGTCAATAAGAAATATAAATATATAAAACTTTTTAAAAAGTCAATAAAAACACAACTTAATGTGAACAAAAATCAACTGACAGCTAAAACTCTATCATAATGTACACCAGTATTTTGCAGATAAACTATTTGGTCATTTTCTTTTATTTCCATTAGTTTAAACCCATTTGTATTTTGAAGAAGAGGTTTGTAAAAAAACCACAAAAATACAGAAGCTTCAGGGGGCTTATAGTAAACAGCAATTGGTGTATTCAAGACAGTTGCTAATGCATATACTTCGACATCAGTGCCCCATATTTGGTCAGTCTCCATTTTTGAATCACTAATGTATTTTAAAACTAGTTTTGATATATAAGCATCAAAAGCATTTCTATATTCCGCTTTTAAAAGAGTATCAATTGCTAGTTGACGCAGTATTTTATAAAACTCTTGACTTAGACAAACTTCCTGACTTAAAGCTCGAAATAAGCAATTTCCATCACCTTCAATTTTATCAACACTAATCGGTTTTCCCAATTGTAACTTTTTTTTTCGTACAGCAAAACCTTTTTTAAAAGGTGTTTTATTAGTTAAAGAAATCTTCAATAGGGAGCATTTCTTTGTTCTCCATTTACTATTAGTAGGTATAAAAGAGTTTGTTTTGCTGATAACAACTTCAACAATTTCTAAAGATTCAGATTTAATATAAGACACCTTATCACATGATTTTTGAAGTATTTCATCTTCAGATCTTTTCTTTGAAAGTTTCATGTTTGAACCATGATGCTTGGTATGAAGTGTTTCACCAATTTTTTGTTTTAGCTGATAAAGTCCTTTATCAATAAATGTTTCAATAACTTCGTACAGTCCATCCCAAACAGATTTCCCTTTATCACCTTTTCTATCAGCTCTTCTAAGATTATAAACAAAAACTTCATCGCCTATATTGAATTGGATTTGGTTTTTGTGACGTTTCTCATAGTCCTTCTATTATCGCAATTGAGATTTCTTTATATTTTTTTCTACTTCATCATGAATTATACTTTGAATGTTTTTAATTCCTTTTAAGTTTTCGAGCAAATCAGCCTGTTCCAAAATACCTTAAAAAAAACAAGTAAATGTATAAAATAAAATTCAATAAATTTATTCCATTCGTTTATTAAAATAAATACCTTCTTCTATGTCTAAATCAACAGGTACATCATGAATTAAGCTTTGATCAATATTTATGCAATGTAAGGGTAAAACTGGCTCCCTTGCATACATAACTTGAAAGGGAGTGACACCGGTTGACTTGTGGCGAGTTGTTTGAAATGCAAACAGTATGCCATCTAATGAATGAGGCCATTTTTCTTGCTCTCCATTCAGCACTTTAAGCATAGAACCCTGTATAGTTCTATTAGCTCGTTCAACCAGACCATTCGCTTGAGGATGGTGAGCTGAAGTAATACGTTGACAGGTTCCAGTAAGATTTAGCAAATTTTCAGAAACTTTATTACAAAATCCTCGACCTTGATCATTAATTTGAATTGAGGCACAACCATGTCGACATATAAGTTCATAAAGAAATCTGGATACCTCTTCAGCACTTTTATTATAAATAGGCTTTGCTTCAATCCATTTTGAAAAATAATCAACAACTACACAAATTCCAACATAACCTTCTTTGACAACACATAAAGTCTCTGGACCAGAAGTAACTTTCATGATTTTTCTATATTTTTAATGTAGCATACCATTAACAATTACAAACCTGTCACTTTGTTTTTTAAAGTTCGTTTTAATACCTATGTTTTCTCTTCCTTGTAAATGTTCAGGAAAAATTCCTAATAATAAATAATTTTCAATATCATAAAAGTTTGGCTCTTTAATTATTTTTTTAGATGATCTTGATTCGTCTATCTCTGATGAACTTTTGTCTGCCATTTTATACTAAAATATCTAAAATTATAAAAAAAGTGTTTATAGCAGTGCTATAGGCTAATTTATGTGCTATTAGTGCATTCATCATATGCCCACAGCACCTATAGCATAAAATATAATTATTATAAATTTATAATAAAATGCATGTAAGCAATATTAGTTAAATAAGTTAATTAATTAAAATGATAATCTATTGAATTATTTTAAAGCGGTTATTATATAACAAAGTTGTTATTCCTTGGTCTTGGCCCGGTCTTAAAATTTCCATTTTCAAGGCCAAGGCCCTTAGCCTTGAAACTGTTGGCCCTTAGCCTTGAAACTGTTGGCCTTGGCCTTTAAAATTTTGGCCTTGGCCTTGATTGTTTAGGCCTTTTAAAAAAACAACACATTTTCTTTTTGATTTTGTTGAAATCTGAACATAAACTTGGTCTATTTTTACAAAATGTGGTTTTATTATCACAGCACTTGCTATTTACAGTTTTGGCCTAAAGGTAAGGCGAAAATGGAAGTCTTAAGTTTTAAAAATCTTTGCGTCCGTCTTTGCCTTGAAACTCTTAATCTTGGGCCAAGACTTGACCTTAAAACTCTTGGCCTTGCAACTTTTGGCTTTAGTCTTGTAACTTGTGGTATTGGCCTTGCTACTTTTGGCCTTGTTAACAACTGTTATATAATATTTTACTATATAATAAATTTTGCTAATAATAATAATAATAATCTTAATTATTAAAATAATCTAAAAAAGTTACAACACAAAAAAAAAAAGATAAATATTAAACGTTTGATTTTGAAATTTTGTTTAAACTAATACTATACTGCTATAGCAGTATGTTCACTATAGTAAACACTATAGTGAACACTATAGTGAACAAACGTTTTTTGTATTATTTTCCATGCTTCTTACCTCTTTTCAAAACATTTACACGGCAAATTTAAATGTTAGGGGTCGTCCATAAATTACGTCACGCAATTTTTGACCAATTCTGACCTCCCCTCCCCCCTCCTCATCACAAAATTGTAATACTTGAGAATCAAGTTTTGTATGAGTCGTCACAAAACCACTAACCCCTCCCCCCCCCCTATAGCGTGACGTAATTTATGGACGAGCCCTTAAGTGTTCGGTACCCAAGTACAGTGTTTGGCATCTAGGTAGGAATCACTTGTCAAGTGATCGGTACCGTCAGGTAGGAATTAGCGTCGGTAATTCCTACCTGACGGTAATTCCTACCTGACGGTAATTCCTACCTGACGGTAGGAATCCGTACCGTAACCGGTACGGATTCCTACCGTCAGGTAGGAATCCGTACCGGTTAAGTACTTCATACCTCCTACACCGGCCCTATATATATATATATATATATATATATATATATATATATATTACGTTTTTTAAATTAATGGGTTATATAAAAATAGTTAATAAGTTTAACATTAAATTAATGGGTTATATAAATATAGTTAATAAATTTAATCCACAAATGTGGGTAATTATTCAAACGTTCCAAGTACCACCTAGTAACCTATAAAAATTATTTTTATCTTTCATTTTAATGTGTTGTTATATGTTTGCAAATAAGATATATTTACAGTTTTAATTCACTATAAACAGAGTTCAAGTCTGCAACTTCATTTTTCTAATTTTTATACACATAAAAAATTTTTTACTCCAAAATTTTGTATAAAAATCAAAATTTTCGTGTTTAAAACTTACATTGCAATTAAAATAAAATTACAAGATAATTATTGGAAAATGTACTTCTTTAGTTTCAGATTAATTACAGTTTAGACGTCATTAGCAATTGAACGGATTTATCTTTTTTTACGGCTCTTAATTTTTGAAAAGAAATATTAATTTGTTTCCCATGGTAATTAACAGAAGTGTGCTCAATCCCTTTAATTGTTACAACGTCTCTAAAATATAGCTAACTTTTTGCTGATACATTTTAAGCAAATTAATTGGTAATATTGTATGAACACTGAATTCGTATACATCGTCATATATTTTATATGGTTTAAAAAAATGAATTAATAACGTTATTCATATTTAACAATTATTACTAATACTGACTACTGTTTAAAAATTTAACGTTTTCCAAAAAAACGCAGCAAAAAAATTATACATATACTCGATAAAATCATTTACAGTTTACAAACTATTAGTGGCGCCATCGTTTTGGTATTTGAGATAGATAACTTCTAGATACGGTGTAAACTCTACACATTTAAATATTAATAATTATGCCAAAATAGTTATGTCATATCAATATAATGCTTTGCAAAAGATTTCAATAAATGGAACCTTAATAAATAAAAACGTCTTATCATCATGAACCGTTGTAATAATTATGTTTTTACAATAGTAAATTCCTATAATAGTGTTAAAAGCAAAACTTAATTAACTAAGGTAAATAGTGTTAAAACCAAAAACTTTTTATTGTAAAAAGACAAAAACAAACAAACAAACAAAAAACAAAGTATACAAATCATTAATAAGATTTGTATACTTTGAAATAACCTGGAACCTTATGTTTGGAGTCGTTTTCTTAAACACCAAAAAAAGATTGCGCTTATCATGTACATAATCACTAATTTTAATAATAAATCTTAATGAGTTCAAGGCCAAAAATTTACAAGCTGGACCCAAAAATAGTAAAAAAATACATAACACTGATAAAGTTTTAAACTCCTATCCCTGATTAGTTCCAATTATCAATTCTACAAGTCCACACTATGCTTCTAATTTATTGTTTAAAATACTTGAAACAAATCTTTGTTAATAGTTAAAATAACGTCATTGGTATTTTTCAACAGCAAAAAAAAAACTGTTGCATTGTATTTTTTGTAACCTTTGGTAACGTGCTACCGTTTTCGCAATAAAAAAGAATTGTATAATTTATTGTTTGTTTAAAACCTCATTCATAATATATATTGCTCACTTGTTTTTTATATTTAATAAGGTATATAAATGCAATTAGCTTTTTAATAAAAAGATCAAGAAATGCTAAAATTGTGCGATAAGGGCAACGTGCGTTTATAATTTGTTTATTTTTCCTGTTTAATGGTTTCTGGAACTTGCAAAAAATTTAAAGAAGCACATAAAAAAGAAATCCGATAACTAAAATAAAAAAGTTGCAAAACTGGTATACTCACTTAGTTTATAAAAAGCCTATAACGAAATTTTTATTGTATTTTTAGAAGAGATAAGAAGTAATTAGGTTTGATTTAACCAATCAAAATCTAAAGTTATATTGCGTGTAAGACCAAAGTATATAGAATATTTTTATACTGTCTTAGATTTATAAATGTTTTTGTAACTATTAGCAATGCTTATATAACTTTTTTTTTTCTTCAGGTTTTGCATAAGCAAAATACCATGCAATCGCATGGTCAAAATGGCCTTCAAACAAAAAGTAATACCTCAAAATTTTGCCTTAAAGGTGTTCCTCGCTCAAATCAAAAAGTATGGAATCAAAAAGTAGGAAAGAAAGCAGAGTTAGAAAAGCTTTTACTAAGTGTCCGCCTTGATACTGACACTTCAGATGTTCCACTGTATTCCGAATCGTATGAACCTTCTGTTTGCCTGCCTTCATCAGGTTATAAATCAGATCCAGAAAACGTCCGCAACCGCATAAGAACATGTTATTCTGCCGACGAAATGTCGCCTGATCAATCTCCTATAAGAAAGGCTGAAAGTAAATTGTACGAAAATGATTTGACAATCCGTCGCACCAAATCATTGAATCAATTTTCAGTAACCGATCGAATAATGGAAATTAAAAAAAGGTTGGGTAACACAAAACCAACCATATATCCAAATAATTCTGCAGGTGAAATTTCGTCCAAAAAGGTTTTTCCCAAAAATTATTATTCAAATGTGTTTGAAAAAAGGGAAGTTTGTTGTAGAAATAAAAACGAAAATAAAGTGGAACATCTCGGCAATAAACAACTTAACGCGGTGCCTGTCAGAAGAGCTCGGTCTTTTAACAACGTTGATAAAGAAGTTTTATCTAGGATACCTCTTTCTAAAAGTAACGCTCAATCAAAAACTACCGAAACACGACGTAATTACGACGAATTGAGTAAAAAAACAGATAAAGAAAGTATTTCTAATTTGACGGAACGCCGGTCACGGTCATTTAGTTTATTGCAAAATGTTTGGGAAAAAAGAGAAAATTGTCCAGAAAACTCGTTAAAAAACAATGAAATAGAAAATGACTCATCAAAGCAGTGTTGCGAAATAAATAAACATAAAAGAATGAGTTGGGATCGTTCCGATTCAGAAACAGAAGCCGAGGAAACTTATTTGACAAAAGCAGCATTACAACGTCTAGAAAGACGTTCCCGTAGTCATATTCGAAATCGAGATAGGTTTTTTCAACAAAAATATGCTTATGATACGAACAACAATGACTTAAACTCTAACTTATCTGATAAAACATTAGACTCGGGTATTTTTGATTTAGCAGTAAATAATTTTTCTCAAAACATCCAGCAGCTATCTAAGCAGTACAACTTTAACGATTACCACCACGAAGATTCTGTAAGCTTGAATTCAGGTTACAGCTCTGCCTCAGACAGCATTGCTGAAAGTATATCAGCTTATTACGAAAGTCCTGACGATGATTTTGATTCAAAAAAAAATCAAAAAAATAATACATTAAAACATTCAAATAACTCGTTAAAAACAGGTTTACCTATTTCTGCGTTTAGATTTAATAAAGTATCACAGAGTAAAAACAGCAACGATAAAAGTTTGTTGACACGAGAAAATAGTAAAAAAACACCGACAAAGATTCTACAAACGACTGTTACAGATGAAGAGCTAATGACGAAAACAAACAGTATAACATTACCGATACGCGCTAAACTAAACAATAACTTTATTTCAAACTCAGTCGAGAACAGCAGGAGCCTTAATAAAATTCTGCCACAAAATTTAGACAGCACTTCGAAAACATTGTCAGAAAAGTTAAACAACTGCGATACGAGCAAAGCAAATGTTACAGGTCAAAATAATCTTAAAGTAGTAAGCGTCGATGAAGAAAAAAAAAACTCGACTACAAATGTGACAACAGAATCAAAAAAGCATCAAGAAAATACCGAAAATTCCCATACAAATTCTGGGAAACGGATTAAACATTTTGACTCGTCTAAAAATAAGCAATTATCTGATAATCAAAGTAAATCCGTTTGTTCAAGCAAAGAATTTTGTTCTAGCAAAGAATATCATTCAAAGAACGTCACTGAGCTGGAACAAACAATGAATACTAATTTGAACGTAAACTCAATCGCATCAAATTTAACGAGTCACGAAAATAATGCGTGTGTTAAGAAAATCGATGGTTTACACATAAAATTAGCAAAAACTGTGACATCGCCGTCGTTAAAGACTTTATTAGACGTTCGTAAAAACGACAAAAAATTAAACGAGCTTGAAGTTCAACTTGTAACTCATAAGCAAACTAATTTTAAAAATGATAATAAACTAAAAACCGAAAATGCATGCATTTCAGACTCTTTTGATCAAAGTGATAAACCTGCCGTGTCGTTTAACAATCCTACAGTAAAAAATAATTTCATAGACAAGTCCAACACAGATCAAAAAGTTAAAACTAACATAACTAAAGGTGACACGTTAGAAGTTAAAATAAATTTTTCTGCCACACAATTAGCTTCACTTGACACAGTCAGTCATAAAAATACAAATTTTCTAAATAAACAACTCACTAAAACTCAAATTAGCCCATCAAAGTTTTCCACAACAGAAACTTGCCAAGAATCAGAAGTTTCAAAAAAACTTGATGCAGATCAAGAGATTACTCTAGAAAAGTTTTTAAGTACAAACCCTGAATCCCTTCAAACCGACACTTTAACAAGTTTATCTACTCCGAGTGTAAGAAATCTTTTAGTTCATCGTGGTATCCAGTGTTCTTTACTTAATGATCAAGAGAGTAGAATATTGTTTACTGAAATTTTAGTCGCTGACACGACACACAAACACTTTATCAGTAAAGAAATCGCTGATGAAATAGGGTCGGATATACTAGAAGATATTCAGTTTACATATCCACAATACCTCATACCACCCGGAGAAGAAATAGACGACAATTATTTTCTAGAAAATATAGACTTGAAAAAAGTTCAAATGGAAAACATCAAATTACAAACATTGTTGCTGGAAGTGGAAAAAGCACGAATGAGCAGTGTTAAGGCCTTACTTCACGTTAACAATGCTCTTAATAAAGTCCAAAGTGATAAAACACAAATCGAAAGTGATCTAAGCGTTTGTCTATATGAAAAAGAAGTTCTGACTGAAAGTTTAGCTCGATTTAACTCAGCTGGCCAAAATCATAGAACAGAACTTGATAACATAGTAAAAAAAAAGGACGAAGTTCAAGATTCCATAGATTCAACTTCTGATGCTATGTGGAAGAAAGAGAAGCAAGAACAATGTGCTCAAGCAGAAAAGTTCAAACTAGAATGCAACACTGAAAAAGAAACGATTCGTTTAAAGTCACAATACAAAAAAGTAAAAGACCAACTTGAACAATCCAACAATGCTTTTACTACAACACTAAAAAATAATTTAGAAGCTGCAAAAAGAATGGACGAGCAACTTAAGGTTTGTCTAGCAGAAAAAAAACAGCTAGTAATCAAGTGCAACGAAGGGTCAAAAATTGCTAAAGAACTAGAAAAGGTGAAACAAGAACTTGAGGATTTAAAGCAAAACCAAGAAGAGGTATTCAATGTTATTATCTTACTTGGATTTTTAACGTAAAAATATTTCAAATAGAAGTTGCTTATCAACAAAAATTAGTCATGAAATCAATAGGAATAGTTTTTATTGTGATTGCTTATCTCGACTAGTCAAATTATTAAATGTTCAAGTTTATTAAGAATGACCAATATCAAGGTTATTTTTGATTAATTTGTATAATGGGCGCTATCGGACTTGAATATGCATGTTTTTTTTATTTTTTTCTTTAAAGGTCTGCCTAGTTTCTGTCTTACTTTAAAAGCTGATGAATGTAGTCATGCCAACAAATTGACGGCATAATTGGCTTTATTTTTATATAAATTATATTATACGTATCATTAAATATATATGTTTTAATAATATTCTATGCGTAATATAGTATGCCAAAAGGTATTTTATATTATGCTTAAAATATATATAAAATAGTTTTTTATAATTACGCAATATAGTTTAGTACTTCGTTTAGTACCTTTTAAAAACAGTTAATTTAAAAGGCTTTAAACTTATGAAAAGTTTTTTGCTATCAAACGTTTTAAGTGTTGGTCAAACTTAAAAGATAATTCATTCATTTCATTAATTAAAAACATGGAAAGTTTTACTTTTGTGTTTTCCTATAAGTTGAAAGGAAATTGGTTTTCGAGTGAGGATAACAACAAAAAGTTCCAACATAAAAGGCTTACGTAACCTAAACGTAAACATTTTTTTTATATTTAAAAAACCAATGTGTTCATTGCTCTGCACTCGTTTTCATTTTTGTTATAACATTTTGTTTTATTATTTTAGTTATGTCTCTAAAAAAAAATACATATATTGGTGTCTAAAAAATATTATTTGTTTAAAATTTAAAAATTTTTTATTAACAAATTAAATAAATAGAAAAAAGTATCAATAGCAAATATTGAATTACACACGCACATAAAAAAATATTGAACTAGACTTGTATGCAAATAAGTTAAATATTGAATTTGACGGTACGTAATTAAGGCTTAATCTCTTGTGCGTATCAGACGAGAAACATTTAAAACAATGACAAAAAAATTTGATAACTATGTGTTTTTAATCAAATTTTAACATTATTAACTAAAAGTCACGTTATATTTAACTAAATGTTTTTAGCTACTTGATTAAATAAAACATTATTTTAATATATTTTAACATATGTAAAATCAAATTGTCTAAGTAAGTACGCGTTCAACGACACTAAAAATAATTTATAATAAACAAAACAAAAAAAAAACCCTATCATATAATATTAAATGCAAATAAATACACAAATACTGAAAAACTTACTGCGTTCTTGAATAAGGAAAAGTTTGAAAAAAGTGTTAAACGAACAAATAATATAATTTAATTGCACTTTTTTTATGTACTAATGATAAATTATTGGACGAAAAGACCCTTAGGTGATATTTACTTCTAAGATAGTTTTTAAAGATTTCTTGAAAATTTTGTAGTAGTTTTTCATCAATATTGTTAAGAAATTTGGAAAATTAACTTTTTGAACATTTTAATATATAGACTAATAAGAGTGACGTAATAAGAATCCATTTAAAGAAAAAAAAATTTCGTCTAATCAATCTCTAGCCGATTTAGAACATTGTTAAATATTATTTAATAAGTTGTTAATGGATACTTTAAATGTTGGATGAAAATAATCTGTGAGTAACAAAATTGGCGTGTTTTAACATTTGATTTCGTTTGTAACGCAATTTTGTTGTGGGTAAAAAATTTAATTGTTTCCATTTTTATCATTCTTATCGTGCTTTGAACGTTTTTTTTTTTTGTTTTTTGTTTTTATTTTTGTAAATTATTTATTTCTAATCCAACAATTGTAATAAATGATGTAACGCAAAACACAAAGAATTTTACTTACTCACATACTTAAAATTAATGAAATTTTGGAGATAATAATTTTTTTTTAAAAGTTACGTATTACGCCTGTGATTTTATAAATATCAAGAATGTCGAGTAATGAGGCCGGGTGAATAAATAAAAGCACTAAGTAATTGGTCAGCTTTACGTGAACAAAAATTTGATTGATTTTGCTGAAAAACTTCCCTCCCCCTCTCCCCTCATCAATGATTTTTTCGTTCATTTAGTCGGCAAATTTGACCCTTTTCGACAAGTCAGTCAGTAAATATAAAAGTTAGTCGGTAAATTTAGACAGTCAGCCGGCAAATGTCGATAAGCCAGACGGAAAATTTTTTAAAAAAAAGAGAAGCGTTTTTTTTATATAAATTTTTTTGATATTCATTTAAAATCATAAAAACCACGATAACAATAACTATAACAACATTAACAATACTAGTAATAGAAATGATAAGAATACAAATAAAATTAAATCAGTTTAATTAGAATTAAAATATTACCGTTAACTAAGATATTTAAACTCGTTTTATAAAACAACCGAAAAGAGAACATTATCAGATAAAATTTGTTACTTATACATAAAGCTCCAATTTTTGGTAGTGCTTTTTTCATCAGTTTTTCACCTGTTTTTCAAATGAAAAACAAACAAACAAAAAACAACAACAACAATTACAAAATTAAAGGTCACCGTAATAAACCGTAATAAAATTTGTATAGTCTGTTACTGATGGTGCAGCTATGTAATTGTCTGTGGTTTTATCTCCCTCAGCATCAGTTTTTAAATTCATTTGTTTAAGATTAATTGAGAAATAAAAAAAAAATGGTTCAAAATTTAAAATATTGAATTAAATTTTAATATATTCCCATTTTTTGCAAAAGACCTAATGAGAAATTACTCTGTTAGCACAATGTTGACTAAGTTTAGATATTGAAAAAAACAAATTTAATATTTTATATCTGTTAAGCAATAAAATATATATGAGATCATATATAAAACACAGTTCCTTGTTCATTTAAAGCAAAGTTTAACATTTATTGTTGATTGTATTTAGACATTTATTAAAACATAGTATTTTTTTTTGTAAGTTCTCAATTGTATAGACTTTTCAAGAAGTATTTTACATTTAATTTATTAGTTTTTTGTAAACTTCATATTGTGTTTTTCAAAGTGTAACAGAAACTGCCTACTGCCTACTCATGAATATGGATTTTTAAGTAAACACATGTAGAGGCAGTTCTACGAATAATGAGGGGGGGGGGTGATTCCTTAAAAAGTATCGATTGGAGCTATAAATATATATATAAAAAAAAAGTTCCTCAAAATTAAAATTTACCTGATTGAATTGTCTCAAATACCTGACTAGCTGACTAAATTCGTAAATAAGCCGACTATAACTTGAAAATTGCCCTCCCCCTCTTCCCCAACACACATACCTGTAAAATCGCCTCTAAACACATGCTTGCAAGAATAATAACCACCAATTTAAATAGCTTAGTTAAATATTTCTTTAGAAGAAAATAATAGACACACTTTAGAGGCAAGAAAAACATAGTTACTCAGCTAATTTTTTTTTTTTTTTTTTACATTGCTCAACAACTTTTAAACATTCAGGTGTCTCTTTGACAGTCTTTAAGTACAAAATTATTTTCTAAATAATAGAAGTATAAATTTCTAATTTTTAATATGAGTTATTGGTTAATTTTTGGAGGTGGAGGGGTAATATTAGTTGTACAAATGAATACATGTTCTTTATATCAATAACTTACTCTTTCGCTTGTATCATTTGATTGTTGGTTGACTAATTTCCAAAAATGCACATTTGCATACTAAATTATTTGATCTAGTTATTTGGTATACACCAGTGTTTTTTTTTAAACTTAAATTAATAAATAAGATGTTTAAACTTTTAGATTGAAGATGAAAAAGAAGAGCTGGAAAATAAATGTAAGCATTTGGAAAAGCAAAAAAGGCAATTATTATTAGAACAAGAAGAGCTTCATGAGCAAATTGGTCACTCACAAGAAATAATAGAAAAACTCACTGAAGCAGAAGAAGAACTAGCTGAGAGGTGATTATTTTTAGTTTTGGTTTTACATATATTATGATTATGAGAGATACCAGGTAAAGATACTAGAGCTGGAGGGTAGCGTGACTCCGTCCACAACTCTGCTACATCTAGACTTTCCATTTGGTAGCAGATTTGAAAAGGTGCTTTTACTAAGAAAATTTGATAGCGGAGTAAGGTCCAACTACAAAAACTAAGGTTGCTACAAAAAAAAAAATCGAACATGCTATTCTGCTACCATTTAAAATTAGATATACCATTTGAAGTTTTTTAAGTTACAGACTGTTTGATTTACTGAAAATAATGTGAAAGAAAAATGAATCTTTCAAAATATTAAAAATTTCCTGTGTTGTCAAAATAATCTCAGATCCGTGCAATTTGATTTTAAAACTTTAAAATAGCAGCATTAATATTTTTTATATGAAATGTCTGCAGCTAACTTGACGTATTTATATTGTGCATACATGAGCGTTAATCGAGATTTTTCTATCATCTCATTAAAGTAATCTTTATCTAAAGTTGATCAAATAAATTTTAAATTATAATCGCAGAACAACTGTAGTTTTTCTATTGTAATATATTATAAACAATGCAATGTGTTCAGTCTTCTTTACATTTAAATTTTTTTTTATTTAAAATAAAGCTCATTCTTGTTACTTTTTTCAGTTTTTCAAAATATTTTTGTTTAACAGTAAGGTTCTTTTAGTTTTAGTTTTTTTTCTCAGAAACAATTTCAAGGAGTCAAGTGTTATGATATTAAAAGAAGCCTAAAATGGGGTGCTCTTTGCAGATGTCATGTACCTGCAATAGAAGTTTAGTATAAACAGGCGAGTGTGTAGAAGCGATTTATTTCAAAAACTGTCAACAGATAACTGTTTCTTGTTCCAGAAAATTATTTGCAAATTTGAAAGTGTTATAGTCAATTGAAATTTGGTATTTCAACCAGCTTTTTTTTAATCCTCGGGCTAATACAACAACTGCAGACAATCGTTTTAATTTAGTGTTGTCCACCAGTTTATTTTAGTCAAGTAGGAAAAACAGAGAGAGGAGTTAGATCTTGAAATGGTAAACTTGACATCTTTCTTTTTAAAAGAAATTTCTAAAAAGTTGCAATGATGATATCATTCTACCAAAGCACCATAATTGTGCGGCTCAGACAATGAACTTGTTAGCTTGTAAGGACACCTAGATATTGCCAAGTTTGAATTTGAATCCCCGGCCTATCCAATTAAAGCCATTGTTTCTAAAGCCAGTTGCAAAGACTTGTGGGATATGGAATGCCTAAGATAGGAGGACTGTTATAGCAAATGATATTAAGGCAGCCCTAAGGCTAGCAACACCAGTGACCACCAGTTTAAACTCTGTCTATGATAAGTTAAAATACCTATCAATCAATGAACATAATATTCTATATGTTTTGTTGTATATGAACATAATGATCTAAAATTTCTATAAGGTTTACATCTGAACAGTATTATAGTAATATGAACTCATTTATTTTTATTATTATAAATTTATCATATTAACTACTTATTTGTATTTTTACTTCTTTTTTAACTTTTTGAAATATCGCCATAATGTTTATTGTGGGAGTCATTGGAGATTTTACCAATAGAAAAAAACATCTGCCTATAAATTTGTTTAGTGAAATGTTACTTAAGGAATGTTTTTTGTTTTGGATAGTGGTTAAAAATAAACATTTTTTTGTGTTCACTAATGGCTGAGTGTTGTTATGTTATTTTTGAAGTAGTGCTTTATAGCAAAATTTTGCATAATTTATCAAGTTTCATATAAGAATTTGTTTGTAAAAAGTCACAAGCTTATAAGTTACTGTTTAAAAAACAGAAATAAGCTAATTTAAATGCCTACAAATGTTATTGAATATGAAGAATTGTGAAGTAATTCATAAAAATCATTAGTTTCAAAAACATACAAAATATTTCTCAATGCATTTTGAAAAATTAGCTGTACTATGCATATTCAAATTTCTCAATTTAACTGGTAAATTTGATATTAGATATTCTTTGAGTGGTTTCAATATTCTCATTGAAACTGTTTTGAATTTTTGAATATACTAATGAATACTAGTACAAGTAAAATTTGCTTAGACAAATTTTATTTCGTTTTTATTGAATGGGATCCAGCACTGTGTGGTAAAGTTGAGATAATAGGCTCTCTTTTATTACAATAAAAGTTATCTTTAAATACTGAAATATTTATCAGAGTGATGGATTTACGGCAAAGTATGTTGAATGATATGGGAGCAGAGGTATTATATTTTATCTATTGTCTACTATGTGCATTTTTTAGAAGTTGTTTGTGACATGGTGCTAGTTGATTTATTAAATAGTCTAAAAATCAATTTATTAATTCATATAATTATGGACTTAACTGTTGATTTTATTCATGCAGATCAAATGATTTTTATTATCAGATATTTAAATGTTGTCCTAGTCTTATGACAATTCTTTGAATATGTCTGTCATATATAAAAGTGTTAAAGTCATTATTAAGAAAATAAACCCATTAACAGATTATTGCTATACATTTTTCTCGAATGAATTGACAAAATCAAGTATTTGTTTCAACCGAATGAATGATCTTGAATTCTTGTAAAACTTTTAGAAGAAGTCCTCCATGAAAGACGATGCTGGTGGTTTACAAAGTTAAGTTAACTTCTTAATTCAAGTATCTATTCTATAGAGTGTAGGAAGGGAAAATATTGTTTTCCACAGCCGCACCAACAACAAAAAAATGTCCATTGAAAGTAAACTAGCATGACACTTTAACTGCAGTTTAATAATTTAACAATTTGTCATATTAAATATATTAGTTTGTGTATTGCAATTTTTTGTCAACCTTAAACACTTCTAGGTCGACATTGCCAAATACCGATTCTAATTCTGAAGGCTGCTGCACCTATGTAATAATTGTAAATAATTTAGTTGATTAAAAAAAAAAAAAGAAAACAAAACAAAAATAAAGCAAAATAATAAAAACAGTATGAAACATTAAAAAATTTGGTTAAAAAAAACAAAACTTTTCAGTTGATAAAGTTGCGTGTTTGTTGTTTTTTAGAAAATAATTAACTTTTTGTGTATATATATATATATATATATATATATATATATATATTATATATATATATATATATAATTGAAATTTGCACTACATAAGTACATGTACTTATGTACTTTAGATATAAATTAAGGAAACATTTACTATGCCAAATTTTTTTAGAAAAACTGAAATTTGCTGACTTTGTGCTGACCAAAAGTCATTTAAAGTCACCAATTTATTGCCTTATTTTTTCTTAATTTAAGGACTGTATATGTATATTTTGAATAGGTTGGAAAAGGCTTTAAAAGATAAAGAATATTTACAAGAGTGTCTTGAAGACAATGGACAGATATTGTATCAAATGCAACATAGGCAAAAAGCTCTTATTAGTGATAAAGATGCTCTATCAGATATTCTTAATGCAGAGGTTGAGGTAATTGTTTTATTTTGTTATAAACTTTTATGATTTTAAAACTAGTGCAACACTACATGATATGAATTTAGGAAACATTTACTATATGCATACTTTTTTAGAAAAAATTGAAACTAATATGTTTTATTTTAAAAAAATCATTTGTTTTACTTAAAGCATTTTTATAAAAATAATTTTTATCTTTAACTTATTTGACAGTGATTTTAAGTGTTCATAATGCAGGGTTGCCACTCAACCTGAAAAACTTAGAAATAACATGAGTCCCAGAGAAAAGCTGGAAAACTCAGGGATTTTTTTTTATTTATTTAATATTCAGGGAAAACTCAGAGAAAATTTTTTTCCAATTTTGAAAATAATTTTTTATAAAATTATTAACAATAATTTAAGTTATGATAAATTCGTAATATATATTATCATAATTTTTTATAAGATTTTACATTTGATATTAATTTTGTATGGTTTGCTTATTTTCAATATTAAATTTGAATTTATATTTTGTAGTTAAGTTATTTAATTATTTTAAGTAGAATTTTCATTATGGGCTTAATTAGGAAATACTAAAATACTGACTAAATTTTGATTTAATAAGTTATATTAAAATGTTTTATATATAAATTTATAACCTTTCATCATTAAATCTATAAATATATGTAATATGGTTGTAAGAAAAATATATTTTTTAGAGTTATTAATAATTAAAATGGATCAATCAATTTTTTCAAATGATAATCACCCAGAGTATAAAGAATGGCTTGTTAAGACTGACAACAATAAAGTTGCTAGATGTAGCAGCTGTTGTAAAACTTTCAATTTGTCAAACATGGGAGTTCAGGCATTTAAGAGTCATAATGAAGGTAAAAAGCACCAACTTAATGTTTTAGCTAAATCCTGTTGTAAAACATTCTACTATTACACCAACACTACCCCCTGGCAGTTGGTCAAAAAACTTTAGAACTTGTTGTTACTTCCAATAATGAAACAAGATCTGAAATAAGATGGGTTCTTGCAGCTGTTATGAATGGATTGTCAAACAATGCATCTGCTAATGCGAAATGTTTACAAGTTTTTTTCCAGATAGCAAAGTGGCAAAAGGATTAACATAAGGAAGAACAAAAATAGGATATATGATTAACTATGGATTAACATCATATTTTAAATCATTACTTCTTGAAAGTATCAGAAATTCGCCATGTTATGTTATCTCATTTGATGAAAGTCTAAACAAAGTTACACAAAATTGTCAAATGGATATTGTTGCTAGATTTTGGAATACTTTAGAAAATCAGCTTAATGTGCGATATTTGAATTCAGCTTTTCTTGGCCATTCTTCTGCAGCGCATATTCTAAAAAATTTCAATAAAGAAATAGAAAGTCTGGATTTTTCAAAAATGATCCAAGTATCTATGGAATGGCCTAATACAAATTGGAAATTTTTTAAAGAACTTTCTATATACCAAAATGAGTGGGAATTGTATTCTTTACTTGACATTATGTGTTGTAGTTTGCATGTAGTACATCAAGCTTTTAAATTAAGTTTTCTTAAGAGTCTACATCATGGAATTTAAAAAGTATTCTTATAGAAGCATACCAAATACTCCATGTATACTCCGCCTAGGATGCATGACTATAACAGTGTTACTGGCTCAAATCGATATCCATTATGTTTCTGTTCAACAAGATGGATTGAAGACCAAATTGTTGCTGATCGCCTAATCGAAATATGGGACAACATTGTAAATATAATTAGATTTTGAGAAAAATTATCAAAGTCTAAACAGCCTTCCTCAAAAAGTTTATTTAATGTTCAAAAAGCATCAAATGACTTCCTAACAGTTTCAAAGTTACAATTTTTTAGTTATGTTGCCAACTTGTTTAAAACCTACTTGACACTCTATCAGACTGATTAACCAATGATTCCATACATGTACACTGATCTTAGAGAATTGATAACAAATATTTTAGCTCTATTTATTAAACTTTCGGTAATTCAAAGCTGCAAAAAAGGTAGTGACTTAAAAAAGATAGATCTCTATAAAAAAGTGAATTTGCTACCAAGGAAAGATGTTATTATTGGTTTTGCGACTGAAGTTTTAATTAAAGAACTCCTTGTTAAAGATAATATAATTCTTAATGAGATAAATCAGTTTAGAAATCTATGTGTTTTTTTTCTCACAAAAACCATGGAAAGTTTACTTAAACGCATCCCGTTAGATTCTGCAATCATAGCAAATGCAAGTTGTTTCGAACCAATCAATCTCAAAATATTGACAATTGAATCTAATCAAAATAAACTAAAAAATATTGTTACATTATCTTGTCAGTTTAAAAATTATATCTGCAACACAAAGTGATAATGTCAAGCTTTTGTAGAAAGAGGTTTCAGCATAAACAAAACAATTCTAAATAAAAATATTCAGTCTAACTCAATAGTCTCTCATCGCATTATAAAAGATCATATGAATTCTCAGAACATTCAAGCTGACACTATTAATATCACAAATTCATTAATATTATCAGTAAAGTCAGCCAGACAACAGTATCAAATCAGTTTAGCAGAGCAGGTGAATTTAAAGAAAGAGTGTTAATCAAACCACCAAAGAGCAATCATATTAGAAGAAATTAAAGAAGTAGAAAAAAAAAAAGAATTTACATGTAACAGCATGTTGTACATTAAAGATATTATTCAATCTGTTGAAGATGCTGACAAAAATAATGATTTAACAATCCTTAAAAAAAATAATGATTTAACAATGCTTAAAAAAGCAACTGCTTTAAAAAGAAAATTTTAAAAAGAAAATGCGACAAAGCAGAAAAAGAATCAAAAGAGTTAGATTCAGTTTTAGAAATGTTAAAAGCAAAGAAAAAAATTATTGATAAAATTTGTAAATAAAAAACTATTTTTTGTGTTTAATTTTAGAATAAATTAAAAAAATTCCATTATTTTATTTTAGTATATTTAGAATCTATTTAAATTATATATATATGTGTGTATATATATATATATATATATATATATATATATATATATATATATATATATATATATATATATATATATATATATATATATATATATATATATGTATATATATAATTTAAATAGTTAATAAATTATATAAATATATATATAAATTAAATAGTTAATTTAAATAGATCATTTAAATAATTTAAAATTTATATATATGTGTGTATATATATATATATATATATATATATATATATATATATATATATATATATATATATATATATATATAATATATATATATATATATATATATATATATATTGAATCTAGAAAACTCAGGGAAAACTCAGGGATTTTAAAAAACTGAAATCAGGGAAAAATGTACTTTACTCAGGGAATATTCAGGGAAAACTCATGGAAAAACTTTTAAAATTATAGTGGCAACCCTGTAATGATATCTTAGGAAAATTAAGGGAATCAATAGACACAGTACTTAAACAAATTTTCATGACAATCATAGATAATAAGTTTAGTTTAATGTTTTAGTGTTTAAGTATTTAAATCAAGAAAATGCTGTTCTAGAATTTAAAACACGAGTTTCACTTTTGGATTAATTGTTTTGCTTTTAGTATGTAATATACAATATTATCTTCAATCCTGATTTAATCTATTTTTGCAAAGTTATTTATAATTAACTTTTATATTTTTAATATGAGATACATCTATTCAGAATTATGGATACTGGAAATGAAAGAAGAAGTAAATGAAATTGGAATATATTATATTGAGAAAAGCCATACAATAAATGAAATGAGGTGCTTTTATATATAATAAGGGACTATTAATGTGATCAATTAACAATTCGATATTAATTTTATGCAGTTAGTCAAGTTGACAATGTACTTTGTAATTATACAGTTATGGAGTACATTTTATAATTGTTAAGTTTAACTTATCCAATAAATAAAGAAAATAAAAATATAAATAAAAAAAAGTCAGAAAAATATTATTTTAATTTAACTATATTTTTTTTTGATCATTTATGAGAGAAAAAATACTGTTAAATGATAAAACAGTATTTTAATGTCTGATAATTGAATAATTATAAAACACTATTGTTTAATACATTTGCAGTTTACTATGAAAATTCCTATGTTGTTGCTTCTTATTTGCCAAGTACACAAGTATACTCCTAGGAAGAAGACTTTATTTGACAACTGGTAATGGCAACTGAGTGTATTGGCAGTTTCAATAACATATTTCAAAACCTTGTTTGCGTCTGGGGACTAAATTTAAGTTTATTTATTTTTAGAATAGAACACAAAGTTAAAAAAATTCTTACAAATTTTTTTTTTGCTAAAAATCTTTTTTTGGTATATCTATAAGTTCTTGAGTTTGAAATTTTTTAAGGATCACTTAAAAAATTTAAGGATTTGTCATCATTATGATTGAGCTAAAGTTTCTTGATTTTTAAAGTCATTTTACTTTTTTAGTCTTTTTCAAAACTCTTAAGCATAGAAACTTTATTTACTTTCACTTTCATTTTTTAAGTAGAATAAAGCAAATAAAAATAGAAAATAGATTTCTTTTTAGGAAAAAGAATCACTACAGAATACCCTTCAAGAGCGAACCGAAGAACAAAAGGAATTGTGGGATAAAATCCAGGACATTACAATAAAACATTCAACTGTGACAGAAAGTTTACAGGTATGGTAAGAAAAAAAATTTTATCTAAAAAAATGTTTAATAGAATAAATGTAATGGCATATGCAATAATGCTATAAACACTATAATTAGGCATAAGTTACTCCTAATGGTAATGTTTATAACAAAAGCAACTGTAACATATAAAATTTTTTTAATGTATAGATTTTTTTTTTCCTTAAAAGTATAAAGTTTGCCATTATACTGTTTCAAATATGGAATATATGGTAAATGTATAGTAGATAATAGATATAATACAAATATAAGAGAAATAGTAAATAATGGGGTATGTAGTTAATACAAGATGTTGAGATTAGATAACTAATAATGATTTCCTTCGATAAAAAATAGCTAATTAAAACTTTTCAAAGATTTTTTTTTTTATAGTTATAAAATAGTTTTAATCACCTAATTTAATTATGAAAACCTTTTGTTTTACATGACAAAAACAATTTTTTTAAATTTTTTATTTAAGCAAGCGAACAAAAAAGAAAAGAACTACCAGGAACAGATAGAAGCGCTTACCAAGACAAATCACATACTTCATTATTCTCTTGAAAAAGAAAAAGAAGAAAGAAGTGACCTTCAAGAAATTTTCGAAGTGATGGAAATGGAACATAAGAAGTTTAAAACAGAAACAGTTGGCAAAGTAAGGAACATGGAAGGAAAAATTGAGGATTTGACAATAGAAAATTCAAAACTCACACAAATGAAAAATGAATTAGCATTAAAATGTGATGAACTGCAGGTGGGAATTTTAGCGTACAGTTTTAAACCTAACATTTAAATTTCATTTACTTTTTTTTAACCTAAGATGTAAATTTGATTTAGGTGTTGTCCTTTTTTTTTAACATAATGCATGCAATTATAAAAATTTTTATTATGTCAAAAAAAATTGGCACAAACTTTAAACTTTTTTTATAATTATTTTTTTATCATGATTAAAGTTTTGAATTTTAACATTCTTTTTTCTAGGAAATTAATGTTATTGACAAAACAAAATTAAAGCTCATCAAAATTTATAATGATGTTTTGACATTTGTTTATATGCATATCCGACACCGAATATGTAAAGAATTTGAAAATATGTATAGATTTTTAAAAATGTATAGAAATTGAAAATTTTGATTATAAAAACCCAAAAATTGGGCTTGAAAATATATATTTAATTGCAAAGTAATTAGTTTGCTAAAATAGGCTGCAAAAAACTTCATTTGTAACGACAAAACTATTTAGGGAGTATTAAGAAAACTTTTATGCTACAAACGAACAAAAACACCAAACAGAACTTCCGTACTGCAACTTCCAAAGTGTTTGCAATTTTTACAAAACTACAGTTGAACTTGTGTAATTTGAATCTTTGAGGTGGTTTTAAAATATACTTCAACTACAAGATTTTTTGAATTATAGGAGTTAAATCCTAAATGTCTAAATCTAAATCCCTTGAGGATTTGTTCTATTTAAGTGGTCTTTCTATTTAAGTGGTCTTTCTATTTAAGTGGTCTTTCAAATTATAGGAGTTTAAATTATAAGAGTTCAACTATATAAAAATTCTAATTGTGTTGTTGTTGACAAGAGCTGCTTCAAATTAATGAGTTTGCTTCTTACTCGCATTATTCAAAGGTTGTGCCAACTTTTATTTGATATTAATATTAAATTTATACTGAATTACCATGGATCAATGCGTTAAAAATTGACTTGGTGTTGCAATGCAAAGTTTTTAAACTGTAAATTGATTTAAACAAAAATGTTCAAATATGTGCTGTGATTATTTTTAATAAATAATTTATAATTTTATTCTTTTAGAGTTCAGTTGCAGAAAAGGAGCAACAGAATGCTGTGTTAATGGAAGATATAAAATCTACTGTCCAATCTAAATTAAAAGTGGTCAGCGAGCTTACAAATTTAAAAGAAAGCGTGAAGGAAACTGAAAAGAGCATCTTAGAAAATCACCAAGCGTATCTAAATTTAGAATTGGCCTTAAAAAAAGAAAAAGACCAAAGTCAATCTCTAACTCTTACTTTAGAAGAAACAGAAACTGAGCTTGTAGATGCTAACAAAAATCTGTACGAAACTAAAACAAAACTGAGCGAGTCAAAATCAGAAATTGACGATTTAAACAAGGTTGCCAAAGAACGATCTCAAATTATTAGAGAACTTGAAAGAAGTTTAGAAGTTTCTAAAGAACAGCGAGATAAATATTTAAACAGAGTCCATTTTTACGAATCAGAAACTAAAGAACTGCGAAAAACCATCAATGAACAAACTGACGAGATAGAAAAGTTTAAGTTTGATTTGCAGCGCGTTTCTCGAGAGAGAGATATAAACAAACGAAACTATGATATGTCTGTTCAAGATTTTGAAGCTCATAAAATAAAATGCGCCGAAAACCTAAAAAAACTAAAAGAGGAGATTGTCGAGTTAAGTCACAAAATAATGGAAAAAGATCGGCTGCATCTAAAGCAAAAGACACAGTATCAAGACCAAATAGATAGCACGCAACACGATTTGCAATTTCTGAAACAAATGATTGAAGAGGCAGATTTGCGAAAACACCAAGGGATACAAAAATTGCACCGTGAAATTTTCAACGACGGCAAATCCCACGAGAAATTAGATTTAAACTTTTTGCGAAAGTCACACGATAAATTTCGAGATGATTTTCAAAACAATGTTGAAAAGTTAGAAGATATTTTAAAAGACTCTAAAATGTCGCCTGACTCAATATCTGTAGTTCAAAGTCCAATGTCAAAAATAAAACTTGAAGAGTTGAAACAACTTCGAAGCGAGGTGTACGAAATCGCTATTGAAATTAGTAAGATAAAAGAAAGATTAACACAATATTCTGCTAATGTATCTCTTTTAAAAGTTAACTTGAGGTCCAGATCATTTCATACAACATTAAATGATTTTTCAAACGATAGAAACGAAAAAATTGCTCAATTCGATTCGGAATTGTCAATTTTGATGGACTTGATGACAAAAGTCGAAAATCGTCACAAAGGGATTATGAATCGAAATGTTATTCTTTTGCAGCGATCGTTAGATGAAGAGGAACCTGAAAAAGAACTATCAAAGAAACTATTAGATACTCTTGAAGGAGAGAACAAACAACTAAAAACTTTATTAGGGATTTTAAAGAATAAATATAATTTTGACGAACATGAACTAGCAATAGAGCTCAAATTGGTCTCTGATGAAAAGGAAATATTATTTAACCAATCAAATTACGATTTTGATTGTGTAACGTCAAACCCAGCTCCGTTTGTAAATAAAACGTTGTTGACACAAAACGGGGAATGCATTGATGCAAAAGGAGATGCGCCTTTGACAAAGGTGAATCAAAACTTTTCAATAAGTTCCAAAGTGTCCTTACAAAATTCAGAAGAGGAAGACCTGACTTTGCCTCCGCATTTACCAACGAGAAGTTCTTCTCTTTATAAAAAGCTCAGGAAATAATCGAATTTTTTAAAAAAAAATTCCATTTAAAATGCGGCATAGTTTGATTTCAAACACGCTGCGCTACCTAAATACAAAAACTATATAAAAAGTGAATTATTTCATTTTATATCAGAGATTTATTTTGTGAATTAAAAAAAATGTTACTATTCTATAAGAATATAAATAATATTCCCATAAATATCTTTTTGTTTTTTGTCAACATATTTCTTGTATCTCTATTTTGGTAGTTAACAAAATAGAACAACAATAGACGTAACAATGAATATTTTTGTTTTGCTAAATTAATGTTTTTGTAGAAGTGAATGTACGCATGAAAATACACTCAAAGTTAAAACTTTACCAATTACCAATATTGTGAGATTAGATTATTGATTTTCTTCCTTAGCTTAAACTGTTTAACTATTTTTGTTTTCTTGATGAACGGTTGAATTTAGTAATCCTATTTAAGCTAGGGAAATGATGTCAACGATTAGTGTATTGCGTATAAAAGTTTGATCGTATAGTGGCTGTTTTCGGTCTCAATTAAAATGTTTTTAATCAGCGGCATTAATTGACTCAAGAACGGCATTGTTGAATATATTGCTGATACGCAAGCTGCTTCGCATAGACGCTATTTGCTAAAATGTCTGTTAGAAAATACATATACTTGTGAGGTTCCTCAACAAAATTATTTCTGAAGTTATTTAAATATTTAGAACAAATTATTCATAATTTTTCTAAAACGACTGTTGCATCACAAGAAATGTTATGACAATCAGTATTTACTGGCATTAAAATTGTTTATAGACATTTTTTAATTTCAGTATTTATAAATATTTAAATTTCTTTGATACTTTTTATTTTAGAAAGCCAGTTTTTTAATATTATTCAATTTATCTGTAATATTACCTTCGAATTTAGGAAAATATTAATATTATTCAATTTATCTGTAATATTACCTTCGAATTTAGGAAAATATTAATTGAGATAATTTTTTAAAAACTCTAAAATTTTTCGAATTATGATCATTTTTATAATTTTAAAAATATAAGCATACTCCAAAAAATAAACACTTTCTCACATTGGTACTAGCATTTTTGAAATCAGAGTATCAGAATATGCGGAAATAAACTTTAAGAAATGGGATTTTTGCTTTTGTAACGTATATTGTAGTTGTGTGTTTTTAAGATACCTTTTAAAAGACTGTTGAAATTAATATACGTTCACATAATTAATACGTAATTACGTTTAATAACAAAGGTCAACAAAACTAAACTTTTTTTCTCATCACTAACAAAAATAAGCTTTTTAAATATATTTGATGCTGAATCCAAATCTTACTAAAGTTTTGTTCTATCGCGTATAGTTTTTAAATTATTTACATTTTTGTGTATTATGAAAATGTTTATAATTGTATGAAAATAAAGTGTTTAATAAATTATATTTTATGCAAACCATTTATTTGGGAAAAGCAACATATTCAATAGGGTGTGCTGACAAACAACAAGTTTTTAAAACTTGCCTTCCAATACCTTTAAATGTATTAACAAAAATATTTTTTGGTTGTCCCTTACAAACTTTATTATTTTTTAAATATATACATATCAAATTTTTTTTTTTTCTTTTTCTCTCAGCTCTATAACTCCGAAACACGAACCTTGACGAACAAGGTCGCTGAGTGGAGAAACAAGTTGAGCATGGCAATACCAGAGACATGTTAGGAATTAAACATTTCGCGAGGTTAGAATTATTTTGTTCTATCTTCACATTTTTGAGTTTTGAGATAAACGATTTAAAAATTAATAACTTTAAAATTAATAACTTTAAGAGACGACATATAAAAAGATTTTTATTACTTTTGTTTTCTCCGAAACTTTTTTGATTTTAATTTAGGTTTTACTATAGTAGAAAAACATTATTTTGAGGTACTTGCCTCAAAAACGTAAGATCCGTGGTTCAAACCCTACCTCTGGGCAAGTTTTGCGACATCGGTTGGGAAGGAGGCGTGAACTTCCTATTAAATGCTCTTCCGCGGTGCTCTGTTTTAAGAACGTAAGGACTTCTTGGGGCACCTAAATCAACATTAAAAAAAAAAAAAAAAGGTACATGACATAATCAATAACTCGATTTTTTCAAAAAGAGGAGATAGAACAAAATAATTCTAACCTCGCGATTTGTTGGCCCACCTTATTATACATCATACACTAAATTAATATAACGTAATGAGCAGCAAACAATTAATTTAGATGAAAGAGTTTTTAACATAATTGTAAAATAAGAGTATACGCATTACAAGCTAATAAAAGCGTTCAGAAAACAATATCTTTTTAAACTTATGTTCTGGAATTTCACGATACAACATCCAACTATGGTCAGCGATCATGATTTCATTCAACAAGCTAGGGAAACGCATTCACTAAGACATTTAATGTCTTAGTGAATATTCAGTATCTAAAATAAGTTCCGGGATTTGTGACTAATAAAAATTTACATCCTCAACTAAAGGGACATACTGGACACTGCTTGTTTCTGGAAAATATGTAGGCCTTAGCGCCCATTCATGTTTGCTATAATGTTTCGTTATGGTGAATAATTATATCATGGCAATAACAGAGAGGGTCATCTACTGTAAAGTATGTTGCTAAGTTAATATTCCCCTTTTGGTAATAACTGATACAAACATTTTTGTCAAAGAAGTTGTTCTCCTGCAGTCTCGAGGCAAGAAGGTCTAAATGCGATAAGCTGTTCTCAGAGATGCCAATAAGCAAATATACGTGTTACCAGACATACAATAACAGTCTGAAGTAATAATAAAAAGAACATGTTAATTTATAAAATACATCAAGCAAATCCAAAAAAATGGTTGAAAAATGTAGTACTTTTTAATAATAGTAAATCTGTTCGTTTACATACATGCTTTTATTATAAAAACTTCATATAAAGTTCAAGAAAAAACTATCCAGAAAGTCCAGTTAAGCTGATATGTATGCAAAGACTGGATAAAAGGTTATGATTTACTCAATTACAGCATTAGTAAATAAACAAAAAGCTATATAATTATATAATTTACTATTAACAAAAACTATACGTGCTTCAAAAAAAAACTGATTGCAGTTTTGAAACCAGCGTCAAAAATTATATCCGGGCAACCCAAAATTATCTCTGATGAAAATTCATTGTTGACCTCTGTATTTAAAGTATAAATATAGTTATAAAAAAAGTCCAACTAAATATATTTAACGTTTTTTCCGATAAACTCAATCTGTGCAATGACCGATAAAGTCAATCTGTGCCATGACTGTGCAAGAGCAGTTAAAAAGATCTTCAAAAACCAGCTTGGAATTGCCGATGATATAATGGTTGAGCGAGTCCATCGAATTGGAAGAATTAAATACAAGCTACCAAGAACTATAGTCCTTAAACTCCTAAATTATAATGATAAATGCAAAATTTTAATATCTGTGAAAAAAACATAAAGGCACTGGAATTTTTATCAACAAAGATTATGCGAAAGAAACCCTGGAACATCGCAAAAAATTGTGGGAAGAAGTTAAAAGGCATCGTAAAGAGGGTAATTATGCAATAATCAAATTTGATAAAATTTTTGTTAAACGTGCATAATTAAAATAACGTAGTCGCGGAAATGAAAGGAGATTCTAACTCTCACCGAAATGGCTGAAATTAGCGATTTTAAGCATCAAGTTTTTAATTTTTCAAAAATGAAAACTTTAATAGATATAAATGTAAAAAAAGACCCTAATTATTCTCATGATTTAAATAATGATTGCTTTTACTATTATCCTAGTGAAATAGAAGGATCTCTTTTTAATTTCAATAACAGCGAACAAATTAAAATCCTTCATGTAAATATCAGAGGAATAAGTCACAACTTTGAAAAGTTCCTTTACTTATTAGAACTAAAAATGTTTTTAATATTGTTTAACTGAAACTTGGATAAACACAAACGGTTTAAGTATTAACGCAAATTTTTATCTTCCCCGTTTTAAGTTAATATCTCAAGAGAGACATACAAATAAACGCGGTGGCGGAGTTCTATTTACCTGAAGGAAACCATTGCGCATTACGTTAGGAATGATTTAAGCGTTTCGGACGGCGATAAAGAAATTTTAACTATTGAAATCTTAAACAATGAATCTAAAAATGTATTAATAAGCTGCTGTTATCGACCACCTGACGGTCTGAGTGAGAATCTGAGCACGTTTCATGAGCAAAATGTTATCAAAATAGACATTGAAGAAAAAAAAAATGTTATTATTGGCGATCTAAACATGAATTTTTTAAACTACGAGAATGACTGTAAAATAAAAAAAATTTATGATTTAATATTTTAAACTGGAGCAATTCCCCTTATTAATCGTCCAACTAGAGTATCAGCAAACTCAGCAACTCTTATTGACAACATTATTACAACTGATGTCTTCAATAATAATATACAAAAAGGTATATTGAAAGCAGATATCAGGGGCGGATGCAGGATTTTTTGAAGTTTGAGATAACTAACTTCCAGACATGGAGCGAACTCAAAACTTTTATATGTTTATAGTTATATCAAATAAAGATACTTTGCATAAAATTGAGATGATAGGAGCCTGGGAACAAAAAAGCCCCAAAATTTTTGCTACACCTGCCCCAAACGTGAGAGCAACAAGTTGATAAAATAATTTTTTTACTATTCTTAACTAAATCTATATTCATCGAGAAATTTTAAAATTCATACAATAATCTCTTAACGTTCAAAAGTTATAGCCACATAAAGTTTGAATCCCCCTCAATTTGAGGGGGTTACAAATTTTATAAGACCATTATTATTGAACGCTAAAAGATTGTTTTACAAAATTAAAAATTTCTCGATGAATATAGATTTAGTTAAGAAAAGTAAAATACTTATTTTATCAACTTGTTGCTCTCACGTTTGGGGCAGGTGTAGCAAAAACTTTGGGGCTTTTTTGTTCCCAGGCTCCTATCATCTCAATTTTTTGCAAAGTATCCATACTTGATATAACTA